GATTGTCCCATCCTCCCGAGACTTAAGCACTCTGGTCTATAAATTCCTGGGAACAGCTACCCCTCACGGCGGGCCCCACTTACCCGACGCCCGGACCAAGCCCTCCGAATGGTGACAAACTCACCTGTGCCGGTTGGGAAGGCTGGTCCGAACGACGAGCAGCCAGGTCAGCACACAAGGAGTCCCATCTGGGTTGCCAAATTGTTGAGGAGTTCGTGACCCCTTGCGGAGCTATTCCTAAAGACACAGAGTCGCTGTCAATCTCAAAATTTATTCAGCATGCTGGGCACCCTGAGAGAACTCAGAGGCCCCGAATAAAACTGTTAGAGGCGATTTATAGTTTATAGACAAGATGCGCGCGCAGGTGGGAATTTTCCACTGTGAATATCAGGTCAGCGTGGGAAAACTCTTAATTATTTCAAAACTGGTTTTTGGCTACATGTTTGTTTTGAAATGGTAACTAACAGGGAGGAAACTTACTTCAGACTTCAAAGTGAATAGGATTCGGTCATTGCAGAATCTTATCAGCCTGTCTTTGGAGGCTGAGTCTGCTGTAGAAGCTACACTATTATTTATGATCTTGTTAATAAATTTCTACAAATACAGGTGTTTCTCTCTCCTCCCCACCCCCAGTAGCTCAGTGGTCAGGGAAGGGAAGCTGGCAGCTCTGTGTCCTAAGCCCTCACTTGGAGAGGGTTTGAACCTGTGGTTTCCATCATCCCAGCATAGCACTCCAGCTACCACATCATGCATCAGCTGTTCTAGTTGAGGAGCATTACAGGCTGTGTGCATATCTTTAACAGTGTTATGTATAAGTTGTTACATTGGCCCCCAGATTTCAGGAGGCAACAGCAGAACTGCAGCAGGGTACTGCTCTCTGAATAAACAACCTTTATTTTTCCATAAGCTTAACTCCATAATCTTCTGAGAACAACACATAGGCCAGCCGCCACCTCACAGAGCCATGCACCTCTTAGCTTATTCCCTCCCTCCTGGCCCTGCATAGTCCCCTCATATGGATGCCCAGGGTCAACTTCAGTAGGCATGCTGAAGAAAGGCTTGGATAATATCAGTAGCTGTTCTGTTGTATAGTAGGTAAGAGTATTGGGTTGGGAAGCCTGAGAGACTCAGATTCAGACCCCTTCTTCAAAGGGGAGGATCCAAGAGCTCCAGGTGATTGTCTTAGCCACTGAGCTGCTTGCAGAAAAGATGGAAAGTCCCTCTCCCTTTTGCACATGCATAGGGTTGGCATGGGTGCATACATAATTGCAAGTAATCATACATAGGCCCAGGAGTGGAATTGCAACCTGTGTGTAAGTGGACTTTTTGGGACTAACTGCCACACAGATGACCAGATCTGTATGCCTAGATGACCAGGAAAGAGAAGAATGTCATCCTAAAGCACTTCATAGATTTCATAGACATTAGGGCTGGAAGGGACCTCATAAGATCAAACATCTGTTATATATAGTGTGAAGAGGCTGGTAGTGCTTCTTCAGACGAGAAATATGATCCCTGCCGGGACTAACTTGAGAGGGCAGTGACAATGCTAAGGAGGGAGCTCCTGGCATGCCAAAGGACCAAGTGCATCAGGTTGGATCCTCCCAGTGCCCCAGGGTTACTTCCAGCCAGGAGTTGTCCTGTGGGAGGAGAGAGGACACAGCAGGAAAGAAGCTGTGGTTAAGGGCGAAGATGCTATTCCCTGGGAATGGGGTTTGAGATGGAGATGGTCTGTGAGCTTGGAGGAGCGCTGTGAGGGCTGCTGTCTATCAAGCACAGCAATGGTGAGGGTTAAAAGCTCAAAGGTTGTGGACTGCGAAGGGAAGCCTGAATATACAGGGAAATTTTTTTTCCTTTGAGATTCACTGGCAATGTGGATCATGAAACTAGGTAGCCCCAGGGGATCATTGACTTGCATTAATTAAGGCAATTAGTGGAGTCCCTGAAGGAAGAAGCCTAGCCAGCCAAAGAGGGATTGCGGCTTAAAGGGACCACACCCGTGGGGCAGCATCAGTAAAAGCTCTGAGTTTGGGGTTTTTTGTGGGTTTTCTTTGTTTTTACTAAGAAGGGGAGGATTCCCCACAGCGATTTTTCTTTGGAGTAAAGGAGTCCCCTCTGGATGGCTGGATCCTGGGCATTAAGCTCTGGAAAAAGAGGGAGACAAAATAAAAGAAGAGAGATAGGATTTGTTCAGTTCATCAGACCGGGCAAACAAGTCCAGGGTCTGAGTTCTGGACAGTGTAAAGACTGTGTTCCATGTTAGAGGTAATTAACTTGAAGAAAAAACAATAACTGGTCTTGAGTTGGAGAAAATGGTCAGGCTGACCACACGCACATGTTCTGGATTATACCTGTTACCATGATAACAACTGGTTGGTATACGGCTGGGGTGAAAGGGGAGGTTGGAGCCCCACTTGGAGGATGCCTTGCACCATAACAAGACTCACAAAGGCATCATCACCTCCCAAAAAAAACAATCCATCAAGTTGTAGCAGTGGAAATCAGTGGGCCAAGACATTTCTGACAACCACATACAGGTGAATGTCATCAGGATGTCATGGGCCACGCCTTTATGTCCCCCAACATAAAGTTCCACTTATGGTCAGCAAGACTGTAACTTTGTAATATGCTGCTGATTGATAAGAGCAGCAAATGATTGATACCAGCACATAAGCTCATTTCCGGTTGACTGAGCCAAGATTTGCCCATTTCCTACCCTGCCCTGCCCTCAGGGAGGCAATAAGATGGCATATAGCATTTTGGTAGACCATAAGGAAGGGGAGGAATCCTGCTCCCTTACACAGGTGCACACTCCAAAATTCAATCTAGCCTGGAGAATTCATACCCTAAAAGCATGATAGAACAGAAAGAATACTCAATTATTTTCAACAGTAAATGAGACCAGCCTATTTTGATGGATTCAGCACTCAAAACAGCTAAATAAGTAGCCAGATTTTCAACTGTTATGCTCAGCACACAGCAACTCCCTCTGACCTTTTGAAAATCTGGCATCAGGAACAGAGACTGAGCATTCTTAAAAATCTAGTATTAAGCATGGAAAAAAAAGAGAGGAAAGGGCTCATTCTGGCCTGCTTCTTTTGATGTCATTACAGCATTTTCCCTCCTCAAATCCCTTTCTGGTAAAATGACTTGACTATCTGTGGAATCAGTGCCTGCTCCCTATTAGGTGTCCCTAGTATCTTATTTCTAGGCTTCCTCCTCTACTGGCACCACATGGGCTAGGGACAGACATTACACATGAACCAGTTTAAGTGATCAGAAACTGGTTTAAGCCTGTAACAAAACAGATGTTCAGTGCACGTAAACCAGTTTGAAAATGGCTAAAAGTGGTTGAACGTAGTATCAGACTTAACTGATTTGGCTCAAACTGGTGTATGCAGTATCTATAGGGTGGCCATCATGGAGGACATTCTAGTTTTCTGCAACTCTTGTCCTCTATTGATACGAAAACCAATGCCTTTATGTCATCTATTTTTCTATCCAAGACATTTAGGGTGGCCATTATAGAGGATAGTCCGGTTGTCCTCTATTGATATGAAACCGGATGCCTTTATGTCCTCTATTTAAGAGAAAAATAGAGGACATAAAGGCATCTGGTTTCGTATCGATAGAAGACAGAGGACAAACGGACTATCCTCTATAATGGCCACCCTAAATGTCTGCCCCAGACCCTTTGCTGGTTTAACTTAAATCAGAGACCCCCAGCATCCTGGCATGCTCTCTGGGCTGGTCTCTGCTTCAGTGAGCTGGGCTGGCCCCTTCCTTTGCTCTCTAGTTGGAGCAGCTGTGGGGTGTGACCAGAGGCTGGCCTGCCATGGCCCCTGAGGCAAATTCTTCCCTCTGTCCCCTCTCCGCCCGCACTGGCAAACCCTGCGGACTGCAGCTGGGGTTTGCCAGCCCCTGCCACACCTCCATGGCTTTCCTGCAGCTAGGCAGGGGCAGAGTTAATTCCTCCCTCTGTCTGGCTTGCCTGCAGCCAGGGAGGGGATTAATTCTGTAACTGTCCCGGAGCAGGGGAGAGAAGCAAGGGAGTCCCCTGTATGCAGATCCAAGACCTGCACCTGTGAGCCCAGAGCTAAGACCTGCAGGACCAGCCTGAGAGATGGGAAATGTTGGCAAAGACTTGACAATCATCACACGTATGTGCTGGAGATGGAGTTAAGCGAAGATGCAGACAGCTTCTGGCTGGAAGTTACAGACCAAAGAATGCAGAGAGCTACATTTACACTATAAAACAGAACCTGTAAAACCTAAACAAAGCCTTTCTGAATGCCTAGCTATAAGGAGACACTCTGCCCTCAGGATTAGTAAGAGTTATGCAAGGCGTTCTCTAGTCTTCCTGCTTTACATTTTAAATTAGATTAAGTTGTGTATGCTGTGTTTTACTGCGCTTTTTCTTAACTTGGGCAAAGATTGTTGATAGTTCCCTGTTGTACGCTTTTCAAATTGCTGTGTTCAATACATGCTTGCTTCAGAGAAAGGACTTCTTCCCCATCCCCACTCCTCAGTTTGGTAGCAG